GTGACCCATGCTCCTGCCAGAAAAAAGTCTGAAGACCCAAATAGGAAGAAATGCACGTAGTTTTCTATCACTTGGGGTTGTGGCAGCCCTTTGCAGGCTCAGCCCCACTGAGCTAAGTATGCACTCAGAGATAGGACCGGTCCTTGGCCCAGGATCACGTATCCCATGGGCACAGTGATTCAGTAGAGCAGCCACAGCCATGCACACAACAGCTTGGGGACTTCTCTAGGGAAAAAGCCATATGAGAAAGGTAACATGTAACTTACAGACAACTTCCTCCCCAAACTGAAGGACAAAGGCAAAAAACATCTCATCGCCTACCAAGGTGGTCTTAATATGTTTGTCTTCAAAAGCATCTGTATAAAGGGAGGAGTCTGCCCTTCTGTCACTGAGAGCTCTGCATAACATACACAAAGAAATGACTATAGGTTTCCACATATTACCTGAAAAGTTCGATCATGCTAACTTTGCAAATAGGTTCTGCAGGCCGTTTAATACCAGTTTAACACCACAGCTTCTCTCAACACCCAGTTCCTTCTGAGTCATAGGCAATACTTGGAGAACTATGGACTTATGGCAGATGGCTAGCTACATCTCTAGCAGGCTGCAGATCCCATAAATGTTTGAGAAAACAGCAACACAGGCAAGCAGCTAAGTAGGTCTCTTGGCCTAAAACATAATTCAGTATAGCTGCAGCAGATGACACGGTCACAGCAGAGCCTGGTCCTTTGTCTTCTATCTGGCATATTAATTAGCTACTGATACCTTATGTATCTTCCTAAAATTTCTAAAGCAAGACATAGATAATTTTCATGAGAATTTAAACAGTTTTTCTCTCCTGTCTGGCTGAAAGTTCCTTTTATTATGCAAAAGAAAATCCTTTAAAACCCAATTGACTTTTTGCTGTTGGCTCCTGATGTTTTCTGTAATGCTTGGACAGGATAAAGCAGCTAGATCAATCCCTCTTTTACTTTCTTATATCTCCAAGAACCCAATACTTATTTCCATACAAAAATGTTTAATAGAAATGTGTTTAGTCATCTTGCAAAAAATCTAAGTTTTGGACTGGATCTCTTGAGAGTTTCCTTTTAGCGAGCAAGAGAACTAGGATCCTACTTCAGCTGCTTAGTTCATATCTGACCCTCACAGGAATTCAGAAATAACAAATGTATTGAAAAAGCAGCATATTCGAGATATGATCAATTCCCTTTTCAAGAGATGACAGTGTACAGGATTATTGTTGTGATTTATAGCTACCCAACATCCATACACATCCATACACACACACGTTGCATAAAACATTATTTCAGTAATAACTGCATTATTTCAAGCCTTCTCACCTCAGCTTGCTTTCTTTGTGCTCCCACCCAACTGTGAGTAAGGAAACTTTGACCACGTTAGTCTAGAAAGATTCACAGAGGCAATAAGCAAGACCCGGTGGCAGGATCCATTTCCCTCTCACTCTGTAATTTATGCATCAACTCATCTGTTTTTAGTCCCACATTCCTTAGGGAAAGCCTCTTAAAAATCAACCCTCAGACAGTTAATTTTATCTTTTTACATATAAGTCAAGTCCCCTTTGCTGTTATTTTTCAGGGAAAATGCCCACTTTAACATCACCAGAACATTAGCCCTGGGAATCTGGTAGATCATTGTCTCTCCAGTAGCTTAATCTCAAAGCTGCTGTGTAATTCAGTGACCCTCAGATTATATTCAGACGTTTGTTACCCTTAAGGAGGCCTACCTAAAAACTACTTACAAACAGTCTTCTTCTGCAGAATGCAATCTGAAGTTTTTAATGCATGTGTCATAGAATGAGCTGAGAGCATAAACTGATGTTTTTACCCTCCTCCAATTTACACTGATCACAGCTTTCTTTGTGGCTGCGTTGTGCAGTTCATTAGCATACATGCATAACCATAGTAAAGCTTAGCACTGTCTTACGTGTTTGCAAGATAGTGTTAATTCGCTTGCTTCCTCCACGGGTCAAAGATCTTTTAGAAAAGGGTTCCATGAGGAGAATGACAGCGAAGGAGGCAAGAAATTCATAACAAGCATGTGTAAAATCATGAATTGCTCCCACACCAGAACAGAAACTACTGCCTAAGTTTCCCCTTGCCTATATTAGAGCCCAATCGCAAGGCTACAGAAGGGAACACATACCTTTCATTGCTTTCTGGTCCCCTGTCCTTAGCACTGTCTAGTGACTATTTTAATCTTCCTGCTTCTCGCTCTGTTCTGTGTTGGGTTTTGTGGCTCCTCGGTTACCCCTTCGGTGTGTATGGGAAGTTAATACCTTGCAGTGGATTCCCCTCAGTGGCAAGGCATTTAAAAAGTAGGCCCTGAAATATTCAGCAAGGCAACCCCCAGGCTGTTCCGTGACCCAGTGTCTTCATAGAGCCTTGTAGCAATACAGTGACCAGTCACTCACGTGTTGTCATCTGGGTCAGCCTAGACTATCAATAGCCTATCAGTCAGTATCAGACTGTCCCGAACTATGCCAAACTATCCCAAACACCATATCCACACATCTCCACAAACTAGAGGTGACCAACACTAGATACTGATTGTAGGAATAGTGGAATATGGGCCCAGACTCCAAATTCAGATCTGAATTGCCTCAAGTTTGTTTGTAGCCTGAATATGTCACTAAAATTATTTTTCCTCATTCAGATTTAGAAAACAAAAAAGGAGTAAGAAATTAAACCCACCCTTCAGTTCCTCCAGGTTTCTGTGCTTGTATCCACCTGCCTCTTAGACTAGAACTTGTAAAGTACAGCAACTAAACAGTGTTCACCGAATTTAGCGGCCAAAGGATAATTTCTGAAAACTTCAGATGCTTCTAGCCCATTCCGAGAAGACCAGCCAAGTTAAAATGCAACCCTGGTGTGAATAATGGTAGCCTGCTGACCTACATGGTCAAACCAGTATGTTTCACCTCCTTGTTAGGCTTTTTAGTTTGATTAAGCCCTATGCTGAGCTAACTATACTAATTCTAGTTTCAAAAGAAACTAATCTCTGCTAGCAGCATGGTCTCCATGGTCACTGTGTCCCAAAGGGTAGAGTAACACCCCTGTAGCTGGGAGGCTTTGTTCCCAACTGCCTTTTAAAGTAGAAGTGAAAGTCACAGTAGTATATTAGATGTGGGCACAGATTAAATACAACACAAAGGCCTCAGCTGCGCTCCAGGATGTCCTCTCTGGGTCACAGACCACAGCATTAAGCATCCTGCTTGTATTAGTTTTCCGGACTAGCATTAGTTTTTACAAGAGTTTAACCTACAACGATGCTCATGGTTCTACTGAGTATGATTTATTTTAAACCAAGTGAGGCAACCATGTAGGTATGTTTTGTCACACTCTTCAGAGAAAAAAGGAAGCCTTCCATAAACAGGAAGATGAAAGAAAGGGAGCACAGTTTGGAGTGAAATGGCTTGTGGGCTTATTCTCTGGTACACTAAACCTGCTGGCCTTTCACTGCTGGGTCATAAAGTCTGTTTTCTTGAAGACCTGTCTGGAGCATGGTAGTACCCACCGTATTTTCTCTCTCCTCACAAGAGGCTAACCACACAGCTGACGTTCTTCAGGACACTAACTTGCCTGACTTAATCTTCCTGGAGAGGCCAGGTGAGGACAGTGGATCCTTTTCTATCTTTGATCATGGCTGAATCCAGGCAAACAGGAACTTCCATTCCTTTAATAAGGAAGAACACACACTAGAATCAAGCATCAGGACTGTAGATATTAGCTGGATTAAGTGGCTTAGCGGTCAAAGGCAGAAGCTGCTATTGAATTAGAACATCTCTATTCCATAGCATTTAAATATTAACATCTTTTTGGACAGTGTAGAGGGAGGCTTGGTACCGAGATTTCCGTTCTCTGATGCCAGTTGCAAGTCTGCACAATTCTTCCTTTGATGGCTCAAGTGATTAGGTGTTAACAAGAGGAACCTAGGCACTTAACATTAGGGAGTTTTAGCACCAGGTTCACACCCCCTCCCTCTCTCTACTCTGCTAAGGGATTTTTCTCATTCCCCACTAACGTTAAGAGCAGGTACTTAAAGCAATTAGACGTTATCGCCTCTCTGGTCTTTATTACTTCCTACCTTCATATCAGCTACTTTGTAGGCAATAAAGAGCTGAATTAACAGGACTGGTTCAGACTATTCCACTTCCCTTCTTTATTCTGTATGAAAACACTGGGTCATGGAGCTACATGGACAGGCTGCGAGCTGCCGTGCTTTAGACCGTTATTGCCAATTGCCATGGTATTTTGTAAGGGGAAAAAACCACAGGTAGCAAAAGAACAGACATAGGGAGATCATAGAAAAAGTGACATGGAAGCCAAGGGGGGAATATATGTAGAGCATAGGGACATAAAGGCTGGAATGACTGCACAAGTCCAGCACAAAAGCTTGCAACAGCGTGCCTGTGCTGTTAATTAGCTACCACACCAACCTGCAAGTTGCACAGGCAGCCTAGGGAGAGGGGTATGATGTGTTGCTCCTGTGAAAAGAAAGCCCCCGGTTTACTAAGCAGCTTTTGCTTGCCTGGGAATAACTACTGTACGCTTTTCCTCTGGGCCTATTAAGAAACTCCTATGCCCTCTGTGTTGGGTTTTCAAAAAGATTTTACTCACACATTTAGAGGCTTTCCCATATTCGCCCAGCCAGGTGAAAGCTCCACCTGTTTTCTTCTCTCTCTGCTTTTACTGACAATTAACTCATTATTCTGAGTATAGGATCTCAGAGGATGATATATTTTCTTCCCACTCCCACAATATTTCTAAGCCTTTGTTTGCTGTTCCCAAGAGGGAAGGAACAAGAGACTCTGAGCTCTTGAATCCTGCTGTCGGTTCTTGCCTGAAAGAGGTAAGTAGGGAAACTGAAGGGAAGCTGAAGAAAGTAGCCTGTCCCTTGTCAGCATTCACCTGTAATGGAGGGAAAATGTAGGATTAAACACCCAAACTAGAGCCAGGAACAGAAATTAATGGGGTACTTACACAGTTTCATCATTCTTGAACTCCAGCTCCCCATAGGTGTCTTCAAAATCCTCTCCACCTCCTTTCGCTGTCCCTTCTACTGTCCTATATGGCACTATGACTGTACCCCGAGCACCTGATGTCCTTAGGACTTTGACTTCCATCACACCAATGCTCTCACTGACATGTATAACATCACACTCAAATGTGAAGATGCCGGCATGGTCATCATCCAGAATAGTCACTGTGGCCACACAAGGAGAGGCCAGTATGGCCTTTGGGTACGGGGAGTTACTGAGCTCTGGAGGCTCCTCACTCTCCACCACACGGATGTTACTGAGCCGCACAAAGAAATGCTCATCCTCCTCAAAGATGTCATCATCAATAATGCCCACAGAGAACTCCTTCTGGGTCTCCCCTGATTTCAGGACAACAGTCCCCTCTGTGAACTCATAGTCGGCACCAGCATTGGCAGAGCCATCCTCCGTTTTATAGTCCACATAGATGGTCTTGGACATGTCCCCTCCCTTCCGCACCACTGTCAGGAGAACGGCACCACAGTTCTCAAGACACTGGTAGGAACACGGGTCAAAATAAATTTTGGAGATGAATTCTTCAGGCTCATCCGGCCGCACCTCATGCAAGCTGGTGCTCTTCTTGGCTTGCTCAGCTGCATGTTTCTTCAGAATATTTCCAGCTCCAGTCATCATTCTGGTAGCCTGAATGCGATAAAAAGCTCTGCTCTTTTGCTGATGAGACAAGGCGTAGTAGTTAGCCATTTCTACCAGCTGGTCCAAGTCCTTTTCCGGGTGCTTCTGCTTCAGGTCCTTAAGGATCCGAATCATCTCTTTGCGAGATTCATCTACCTCCTTCCCCTCCACAGTCACTAGGTTTCCATCCAAAAAGTGGGAGTTCATCATCTTGCCATCCATCTCAATTCCCTTAGGGTGATCACCTTCTGATTCTATGATAATGCCCCTGTGCTTGTCAGTACGGTACTTTTTGTGCATATACTTATAGAAAAGCAGACGTTTATCTGCTATCCAAGCCAGAAGGACACAAAGTGGAAAGAAGAAAAGTGTGAGCAGACCTTCCCAGACCTGAACGACACCTGGAGAAAAGACAGCAAGGATCATGTACAACCAAATGTAAGCAAAAATGCTCCATGCAGCTGTGACAAAGAAAACCCTCAGGTGTTTTATCTTTCTGGTTTCCCCATCAGGGATCACATAGACACAGATGGCAATGATGATAAACATATTGAAAGCAGCACTGCCAACAATCGTGGAAGGCCCCAGGTCTCCAGCTATGAATCCATGCCCACATACTTCTATCAGCGACAGAAGGATCTCAGGAGCAGAGGAGCCCAGAGCCATGAGGGTCAAGTTGGAAACAGTTTCATTCCAGATCCGAATGGTGGTTGTTGTGGTCTCTCCATTGGGTTTCTTAATTGTGATTTCTTTCTCTTGTGATGTAATGACCTCTATAGATGCCATGAAACGATCTGCAATGATGGAGACTCCAAGGAACATGTAGATCAGTGCTACAAAGTATACAATAACCCGGGCAATTTTGTCCCCAAGAGATGGGTTTTCTGGGTACCATATTGGCAGGATAACACCCTCCTTGCAGTCAAAAGATCCTGAACACGAACTGTTTTGTACTGAACTGGTTGAGTCTCCCGTCAGGCCAGCATCCACCTGCAAACCATGCAAAAACAGCACAAAAGTAACCAGCCCAAAATGGAGGAAGGCCGAGGTGAGAGGCTGCAAGCTTAACCACGCCATACACAAGATGCAACTTCCACTGTGTAGATCCAAAAAGGCCGAGAACCTGAAACAAACAAAACAGAGAGGGGGGAGGGAAGCATGAGAGAAAAGGAAGATGCAACATTTACCTATACACGCTTCAGTATCTCACCACTGAAGAGGACTGGTAGAGACACATGGGTTGTCTCTCTGTCACTTTGAAGAAGGTATTTGCCATTAGCTGGGCCTCTAACAAACTGCAGCATTTACAGGTCTAGCAGATGAAGATGAGCTGCTAAAAAAGTAGCTTAGAGGAAAACTGTACATAATACCCCTTTCTTGGCCTACAACATACGCAGCTGGAATACTGAGCACTCAACTACCAGTCACCTAATGATGCCACAGTGTTATCCAGAACACAGCTCTTGAACTCCAGCAGAAGAAACCAAATCTAACGGCTCCCGTCTCACCACCCAGGGCATGAGACAAATCAAGGATTCACCAGCAACACAAGAAGCACCATCTATGACCCCGGAGCAATCTCAAACGAAACTCTGTTTGTAGGATGTAACTCAATTATGAGGTCCCATGGTGGCCAAGGACTTACCAATCAGTTAAGATTGGATTCTCAGCCTTTCACATTGTCATGGACCAGACTATTATCTCCGCTTTATAACTGGCCTCTGGAAGAATTTGGTCTCGGTATTAGTAACTGACAAATCACAAGGTTTGTGAGCCGAGACACAGCCAAGTATCTCACAGGAAACATCAAACTTAATAAAGGCGTAATCTAAAGCACTTGAAAAGTTCAAAAGTCTCAGCTCCCACTAACTATCATTGAGGTTTATACTCTTAAATCAGTAGGCCTGGGATTCTTTTCCCCTGCTGTAACTATGTAAAGCTTGGCCAGTAAGTTAAAAGAAGTCACCTAGGCTCTTTTCATAGTCAGTGGAAAGAGAAAGTCACTTGCAGGGGACAATCCTTGTGTCCTACCCCATTCTGACCTGGAAGATGTATTTAAGACACACATCTCCAAAAGGGATTTAATCCTTTCTCCTCTCTCTCCCTGATCTACAGAGGATGCCCAGGCAGCCAGTTTAGACGCCTAACCAGCAGATGGCTGCAATTCAAAGAGATGAACTGGCCTCTGAACACTTCAGAAGGTCCCTCCCCTTCCCCCTTGCACTACATATATTCCAGGCAGCATTTTAATGTTATCAGCATTAACAAATGCATCTCAAATGGTTATTTTATCATCATGTTGTGTCACTTGCATCTTCCCAAAAGCAGGTTTCCTGATATCAACAAAAACATTTTCAACTTTCAGATAAAAATCTATAAAGATAAGTAAAACAGGAAGGAAAACATGCACAAGGACTGCAGATGAACAAAACTGTTCCTGACAAAGCCCAGCAGAGGGAAGAGAATTGATTATGCAGTATCAGGTTCACAAATCCATATCAAATACCCTTCATAGGAAAAAATAATACACTTCATGTCACCTGGATTAATTCAGAGGAGACAGATTCTCCCACGTTAGCTTTCTCAAACGTTCACTTTTCTTCTTTCTCACCCGAGACATGGTGCATGATTGAATCCCCAGGGACCAGAGGAACCACAGACCCAGTGAGGATTGTTAGGCTGCACCAGCACCAGCCCTGTTGTATTTTTAAAAGGCTTTGCTGTCTGCATAGCTCAGAGTGACATGGAAGAGTGAGCTATCCAATATGTTCAGCTTGGGTATAGTTTGACTCTGCCACTTTGGTTCCCCTTCTTCTTTGCATGATATTTTCCCAAATGTCTGGCCTCAGGATGTTGGGAAATCCCTGAGAAAGGGCCATGGTACACATGCGGAGTAACTATACGCAGCAAGCTCAAGACATTTGGGCTGCAAGGCAGATGTGTGCACATGCACAGTAAAGATGACATGTTCCCAGTGCCTCTGACTCAAGGTGCATGCAGAGATCAACTGCATGCGCAGAGTAGCTCCAATACACCCAGGGCCCATCAGATCATCCTTTTTTTGTACTGCAATTGCTGGCAGGTATCCACCAACCTCTTGGCTCTTCCAGCTCTCTGAGTCTAGTTAACTGTACAGCAGCCAGTAGGCATTGTGTCTTCCAAGATCAGACATGTAGAAATGGCTGTCGGAAAGACAGAAGTAATTTCCAAAACATCTATGTGACTCAAGTACCTAAATTTGGTTTCAAAAATGACTTAAGAGTCTAAGTATCACTTAAATTCGGAATCTTGTCTAGGAAGAGTACAATGACTACACTGCCCTCTGAAATAAATCACTGCTACCACTAACTTCCCTCTCTGTGGTATAACCACCTTTTGTAATTAACACTATCTGTCTACCTTACGTAATGTTGTAATAGTTTCTATTGCTAGCCATTCCTCAAACACTCCAGGCTTTGCCGGTTCTTTTGCAATTTTTAATTTTATTTTAAGCAGAGGGTAAGTCTACTGATTATTCCTCAAACTAATTGTGCATGCTTTCAAAAACAACCTCTATCAGAGGTAGGTTCTGTTTATACTTTTGGAACTCCAAACTCAAGTTATGGATTGTAGAGTAAAATCTCAGGATTTGGGAACATGTTGTTTCACCGGTTTTCATTTGCTTTGATGAACTTCTCAACGTTAAGCGGAGGTCAAAATCATTTTCTAATTCAATAAAAGAATGACCTATCCTGCAATTCTTTGACACAGATAAAATTCCCCAGTGAGATCAACAGGAACTTTGCCCATAGAGACACTGCCTGATAAGATTTTAAAATACCTTCAGTAGTATGAACAGCATTAACCTAACCAATCTAAGAAACACAGTAGAGCATTCTTTCCCCCCGCCCCTTCCCTTGGGAATTGGTGCAAAAGATCTTTTCAGCACAGAGTAAGACTAATAGAGTTTAACACTGCTGTTAATAAAACATTGAGGTAACAGTTTTAACATTCAGACGTCGGAGGATGGAAGAGTTAAAATTCACACTGTAATTCTAGGTCAGCAAGGTTGCTTATACAGGATCTACTTTTGCCCTCAGATACATCTACTAAACTCAGTCCAGAAATCGCTGGAAGGGATCTATGCAACTCCAACCTCCCCAGAATGAAGCAGAGACATTCCCCATCCTTCCTTTAAGTAACAATATTGAACTCTACAGAGCTAACTGTGGCATGAGCTACCCTTCAGCGCAAGTCCTGCTCTGAGGATTGAGCCTTCATCTGGCTAGCAGGCTTGGAGCACAGTCCTGAGTCACAGCAAGTCACCCAGAGGGAGCTAGTGTCATTCCTCCTATTTTTCAGACCAACAAAACAGCAAATCCATACCTGGTACAGGCAGGTTTAAGTCCAACCACATCACTGCCCTGGCTGTGTGGGATACAAACAACAAGAGACTGCAGCAATAGTGGAAAGTCAGTTAGTATTGAGTGATCTTCAGCTTGACACCATCAGGATCACGATTCTGTTGATTTCCACTACCTCTTTGATATTACACCTCTGCTCACACAGAGCTGCGCCTGCTATCACTATCACATGGAGTACATGCAAATAAGGGCAGTGGTACTGAGGGACATTTCTCCTATCTGGTAGGGTAAGTTATGAAAGCATGCAATCAATGCGACAGAGACAAAAAGCTGAAAGCATCAGTGCAAAAGAACAAGCTTGCGTTCAGTAGGAAGGCTCTGGGGAAGAGGCATAACAGCTATTTTAGCAGGGAGAAGGCCTTCTTCTACAAGAGTTGACAATGGCCAAGTGATCCATAAATCCATAAATACAATCCATAGGCAGAAAGGATCAGTTCTTGAAATACTTTTGGAGACAGTCCAGAAAGTAGCATGGTTTGTACTTGGGAGATATTGTCACATTGAACCTGAGATAGAAAATGACTTCAAACAACTATCAAGCTAGTTACACCTTTTATAATAGCCGAGTTTCGGAATGCTGGTGTTTTGTGTGCTCTTGGTCTATAGAGAGGTAGAAAGCTGGGAAGGCTATACTAATCCCTTAAAATTTAGCATTTTGTATACAGCTACCCAGGTGACTCTAATGGCAGGGATATTTTCAAAAGAAAGCATTCACAATAAGAAATCTATTCAGGAGGTAGGAAATCACACTGATTGCTGTTAACACATATCCTCCACGTACCGAGTTCTGAAGATCACTGTCAATAAATACAAAACCAAAGGCAAAGCTCCAAGTCCCTATTCATTTCTTATTTAGGCAAAACTCTCCTTAAGCTATCATCAAAAATAGAACCTTTGGATTTTTCCTGCAAATAAAATCAGGTCATCTGGCACTTCCCCCTCCTGCTCTCCCTCCCACCCCCAAATAAATTAGACACACTGAGTATTTTTGTGGTCATACATTCCCTCTCCCCCCGACTCTAGACTAGCAAGGAAATGCTGCTGATTATGCAAGAGTCCTGGGTTAGCCCCATTCAGGCTTGGGTGCTGCACTAGATACAGATACAGACATCTCAAGATCAAGGGTTTTATCTGCTTGGCAAGCATCTGTCCCCAGAACATGGCAGATAAAATACAGCTATTAGTGGTTATTGTATAGCCTCACTCCTAGACTGGAGGAGACAGAAATGAGGTTCATCTTAATAACAGAGTTGGTCAGAAAAAGAAAAAATTACCACACCTTCCGCAACTCTAAAACACACAACAGCTTTCTGACTGAGCACATATTTTTTGATAAGCATCAGCAAAAATTGAAATTATAGCCTTTCTGCTAAAGAATACATGTAATTTAGTTTTCAGAGAAGAGGTATTATTCCTAATTCACACTCCTCCCCACCCTCCAAAAATAAAACCACAACAAAATATTTAATAGAAAACAAAATATATTTTCAATTGTCTCCATTCAGATGCTATTTAGTCCTTTGCTCATCATGACAATAGCACCCAAAGTGTAAGTCAAAATCTACCTACAATGCAGAAGCCAGAGCAGTGTAATTATATCCATTTTGTTAGACAAATGCAAATTTCCCACACAGGCCCAGGCTTAAACAATCATGTTGACAGCAGGACCTATCTGATAGGAACACAACTGATGACCCCCAAGCTCATTTTACACAGATTA